GGTGGTGGTGTTCCCATATATCTGCTGCCCTTGACCTTATAGATGGAAGTGGTCGTGGGTTTGGAAGGTGCTGCCTGAGGATCTTTGGTGAATTTCTGCAGTGCATCTTGTAGATAGTACACACTGCTGCTACTGAGCATCGGTGGTGGAGGGAGTGGATGCTTGTGGATGTAGTGCCAATCAAGTGGGCTGCTTTGTCCTGGATGGTGTCAAGCTTCTTGAGTGTTGTTGGGGCTGCACCCATCCAGGCAAGTAGGGAGTATTCCATCACACTCCTGACTTGTGCCTTGTAGATGGTGAACAGGGTTTGAGGAGTTGGGAGGTGAGTTACTTGCCGCAATATTCCTAGCTTCTGGCCTGCCCTTGTAGCCACTGTGTTAGTGTGGTGAGTCCAGTTGAGTTTCTGATCAATGGTAACCCCCAGGATGTTGATAGTGGGGGATTCAGTGATGGTAACACCTTTGAATGTCAAGGGGTGGTGGATAGATCAACTCTTATTGGTGATGGTCATAGCCTGGCCACATACAATGGTGTGTCTAACTGCCAGACTGGAAAGGACAGTCCTACTACGATGGGGAGAGGGGAGAGAAGACATGGTGACAGAGAATGTAACAAGTAAAGCTAAAATCAAGAGAAGGAATGGGTTCACAGTTTCTAAGTGTTGAACTCAATATTGAACCTAGAAGGCTGTAAAGTGCCTAGTACGAAGATAAAATGTTGCACCTCCAGTTTTCGCTGTGATTCTCTGGAGCATTGCAGCATGCCGAGGACAGACAAGTGGGTATGCGAGCAGGATGCTGTGTTAAAATGACCAGCTACAGGAAGGTCGGGGTCATGCTTGCGCATTGACCGAAGGTGTTGTGCAAAGTGGTCACCCAGTCTGCGTTTGGTTTCTCCCATGTAGAGTAGGCCACATTGGGTGCAGCAAATACAATACACAAGATTGGAGGAAGTACAGATGAAATGCTGCTTCACCAAAAGACTGTTTAGGCCCTTGGATGGTGAGCAGGAAGGAGGTGAAGGGGCAGGTGTTACACCTTCTGCAGTTACATGGGAAGGTGCCGTGGGAAGGAGGCGGGGTGGTGTTGGTGATTGTGGAATGGACCAGGCTGTCCCAGAGGGAACAATCCCTGTGAAATGCAGACGGGGGAGTGAGGGCAAGATGTGTTTGGTGGTGGTGTTCTGCTGGAGTTGTCTGAAATGACAGAGAGTAATCCTTTGAATGTGGAGGCTAGTGAAATAAAAAGTGAGGACAAGGGGAACCCGATCACGCTGTTGTGAGTGATGGGAAGGGGCAAGGGCAGAAGTACAGGTGATAGATCGGATGTGGTTGAGGGACCTGTCAATCACAGTGGGCAGGAAACCACGATTACGGGAGAAGGAGGCCATGTCAGCAGCATCGTCTGAACAGATACGACATAGGCAAAGGAACTGAGAGAATGGGATGGAGTCATTGCAGGATGTAGTGAAGGTAGCTATGAGCGGCTTTGTAGTGGATGGCAGTGGACAGTTTATTCCCTGAAATGGAGATGGAGAGGTCAAAGAAAGGAAGGGAATTGCCAAAAATGGATGCTGTGAAAGTTATAGAGGGGTGGAAATTGGAGGCAAAATGAACACATTTTTCAAGGTCCTGGCAGGAGCACGAAGGAGCACTGAAACAGTCATCGATGTACTGAGAAAGGAGTTGTGGGAGAGGGCAAGTGCAGGACTGGCCATTGAGCAAATCCTTCGAGCAGCCTTGATTCTGTCACCCTTATAGCCTCACTTAACAAAAAGCTGTCAATTTCCATTTGAATTGACCTAATCTCAAAATATTTAGATGGATAGAGTTTCAGGTTTCCATTTTGCTCTTGTGAAGTGTCTATTGACATTGCACTTGAACTGTCTGCTTTAAACTATAAGCTTCTCCTTTTTCTGAGGTCCCCCATACAGTTTATCTCTGTCTACTGAAATAACTCCTTCAATTATTTTAACAATCCAATTAGATCTTCTATGTTCAAAGAAATACAAGCTTAACTTGTGTAACCTGTCCTCCGAACTTAACTCTTTGAGCCCAGCTATTCTTGGTAGTACAGAAATTGAATATTGCTAAACGGGAAAAGGAGTCAAAGTTTTTTTGCCTTGCGCTGATTGGAATGAGAAACAGGATACCACTTTATGTAGCATGAGAAAAGGGTGCTGATTGGTTGGGCCATCATTGACATGCAAATATGTTAACTGTCAATCTTAATTTTCGGCAAATTTGGCTGCCTCCATGACCCCTTTTCTAATGGAAAATCTTTTTCATAAAAGTAGGGGTCGAGGAGACAGTTAATCTCTACTAGATTCCCATGGCAACATCCTGTCTAATCAGAATCTACCTGCCTGCTCTGAGAATTAAGATGGATAGTGAACAGTTTGTACCACATTTCTGTGTCAATGATGGTGCAACCAATCAGCTGCCCCTTCTCATGTTGTATAAAATGGTTTTCTGCTTATCAAGTCTATTTCTTGCAACCTAGCTTCGATCAGTCCAAGACAAAAAATTTTACTCCTTGTCTCCTCTTAGCATTGTTTGTTATCATTTTGATTAATCCATGCTGTACACTTTCCAGGGCAGTAAAATTGTAGGGTGCAATGAGAACAAAATGAAGGACCATCCCTCTCTTACCTCTTTGTCCCCAGTCTGCTAGTAAAGAGAATGGTCTATTCAAGGCTATGCAGAGTGCCCCTGTAGATCAGCTTCTTACACTTACTTGATTGTAATGGAAATACTAACAAGTCAACCCAATAAAGTCACCTGAAACTCCCCCTGCAGGTTACTGTTGGGTGACTTTTTTTTAAATAAAAAAGTCCAATGGTCATGAATCATAGGGGGTCCACTGCACAGAGAAAAAAGCCTTTCAGCCCATCTAGTCTGCACTGGTCAAAAACCGTCTCCTAACTATTCTAACCACATTTGCCTTCACTCGGCCCATGGCCTTGTATGCCTTGGCAAAGCAAGTACACATCTAAATATCCCTTAAATTTTATGAGGGTCCTGCCTCTACCACCCTTACAGCAGATGCCCACCATCTGCTGAGCAAAGAAAAATCTTCAAAACCACTGAACGTTCAGCAATATATCTCATGTCTACACCTACCCCCTCCGCCCCCATTAAACCTTCCATTGAAGGGAAATATTTCTTCCAGTCCATCCGATCCATGTCCCTCCTAATCTTATACATCTCAATCATAGCTCCCCTCAGCCTCCTCTGCTCCAAAGAAAGCCCTCCTGGTGCTGTTAGTAATATTAACACAGTTTTTTTCCTAGCTCTCTGCTGAATTAGAGATAACAAAGTGTGGAGCTGGAGGAACACAGCAGGCCAGGCAGCATCAGAGGAGCTCCTGCTGTGTTCCTCCAGCTCCACAATGCGTTATCTCTGACTCCAGCACCTACAGTTCTTGCTATCTCTCTGCTGAATTAGCCTGCTCAATGATCCGCGCTGTTAGATTTGCAACAGTGGTTTTCGGTTAAACTACCCCGAATGCAGTCAACAACAGCTACTAGAAATTTGTGTGTGCGTGTGTGTGGGTGGGTGTGAGGGGTCGGCAGGACTGAAATTGTCAGTAATACTTGATTTTGCCGATGGTCTGTCAAGACTCGAGGCCACTGGGTGAACTCCGGGAGCTGTGCCATGTTCCAGGGCACAGTGTAAATTCATGGCGTATCTGTGTGCTGTTTGCACTGTGTGGGCTTGAGTCAAGAGACGGCATTCCACTGATTAGGTACTTTGGCCTGGAATTGAAAAAAAAATAAACAGTTTTATCCACCGCGAACAAATGTCATGCGGGATTTTTGCAAACAGCGGAATGTCCAGGCTCTCTGTGCATTCCAACGCGTTTCGCCTTCCAACTGAGCGCTTAATTTCCAGACTGCTGCTTCCGAGCATGGCAGGCAATGACAGCACAGCAAGATCCCACAACCAGCAAGTGAAGGGAGTAGCCCGTTCAAATTCTATACAGCAGAGGGAGAAATGTTGTTCAGGGTGTCAGAGGGAGGGAAACTCTCGACTTACATTCGGACCAGTGTCCTCTCACTGGTCAAATCTGTCTGGTCAGGGGCTTCAGTCTTAACATCAGAGTTCGGACGCTGAGGCGTCAAATCCAGGGAACCGCTTTTTTTTTGACAAAAGGGTCGGGGAACGTGGTTTTGCTGCTCCTCAAAGGTTAAGGGACTCAGTACGTTTGGAGATTTCTTGAATTGCGATCGAAAGATCTCTCTCTCTGTTCCATGATGAAATATGGAGCCAAGGCAGTTCGCTGGGTTAGAGATAACATCAAGTATGAGCTAGTAGAATCGTGCCACAGACTAGATGGGCTGAGAGGCCTATTTGTAGAACTATGTCCCATTGCGAATGGGTTTAGGCTTAAAGACTGCCAAGGTCCATGGGACCAAGCCTCAGAACAGACCTGAAGTGTCAGCCTGGGAATACGAGCTCAGAGTGATAAGCGACTGAATGTTACAGAAACATCTTTTAGCGACACGCACTCAGCTGCCGTTTACCGACCCAGCCGACGACACAGGAGCTAAATCACTTTTACTGGAAGAAACTCCGCTTGTGGAGCCCAGAATGGATGTGAATAAAATTCCACCCCACCCCCCCACCCCACGATTAAAGCCATGGAAGAACCGTTGCTGAGAGTGTCATTTCTCACGCTAACCCCCCTCAGAGCCCCCTCTCAGACTGTGATCAGATACTTTCGTTTGTCAGGACCAACGGGTTCGGAGCGAGCTGTTAGCTCCTGCGCCCTCCCTGCCAGGGCTGGGAAGCTGGTTTCTCTCTCTCTCTCACTGCCTTCTCCCTCTCCCCTGCCAATTCGGGCTGTGGTGGGGGTTTGGTGGAGGTGTGCTGTGCACAGCCTATCCACACCCAGGCTGTGTCACTGCATAGAAAGACTGTGTCCTCCCCCTCACCCACCCCTAGCCCATCCCTCCCTCCTCCCCTCCCTAGAGAGGCGATTAAAAGAAGCGAGGTCTGCTCCAGCTGCTGGACTCTGGGTTTAGTCTTGGCCATCGCTTGCCTGGCGAGGGGAGCCAGCTACTACAGAAAGTGGGCATTTCCACCACCGCCCACCTACCCTGCCCCGCCTCTCCACCCACTGCCCCAAGAACATACCGAGGCGGGTACACACTCTGCCAGGAAGGATGGGCACTCTGACATCGAATGGCACCAGCCTTTGGGCTAACGAGAGCCGGACAGCTGCCTCCGAGCATGCTAGGTCTCCTTGGGTCAACTACACCAACCAGTTTGTGCAGCCTTCCTGGCAGATCAGCCTGTGGTCCCTCGCCTATGGCTCGGTGGTGCTGGTGGCTGTGTTCGGGAACGTCATCGTCATCTGGATCATCTTAGCCCACAAGCGCATGAGGACGGTCACCAACTATTTCCTCGTCAACCTCGCCTTCTCGGACGCCTCTATGGCCGCTTTCAACACCTTGGTCAATTTCATTTACGCCCTGCACAACGACTGGTACTTCGGGGAGACTTACTGCCGTTTCCACAACTTCTTCCCCATCGCCGCAATGTTCGCCAGCATCTACTCCATGGCTGCCATCGCTGTTGACAGGTAAGGGGCTATTTCTACCCACCCTCCCCCCTCCCTCCAGTCACCCTCTCTCGGGGTATTAGGATAGGGAGATTGAGTTACTGTTGTATAGCAAACCCCCTCTCCCAGGATGTGGGAACGACCCATCCCTTTCCTCCCTCCACCCCCACCCACCACAGCAGCCCAGGTTGAGGGTCTCTATGGGTGTGCACTTCTGCGCTCTGTCTACCTGTCCTCTCTCTCTTCACTGGCCATAAAAAGCAGCCCCACGCAATCCTTTCCACACGGCTGAACATACCTAGCACGGGGCTGGTGGGGGGTTTGCAGAGTCGCTTCTTCGAGAATTTCCAAAAAAGGTGACATTCCCTCTTCCCCCCGTGAACCTGGCGCTGAGGAAGTGAGAGTTGGCAGTTCAGTCCTCGCTCCCACTCAGACAGGAGAGAGACTGTGATTCGGACAAGAATCTAACTTTGGGGAAAGACTGGGACTGCAGCCTCGACAGCTCATAGTATAAACCGATAGAATGCAACTTGGAGAGTGGTGAAGGGCAGAATGACAGCTGATTCACACTGTTGAGAGGCTTTTAACAGCGTCTGACCCTAAGGTTGATGAATTTCTGTAATATGGGGAGACATCCCGAGGATGAGCTAAACTGGCTGTTGAGACAGAGCCAACAGAAGTGATTTGAAAGGGTTTGCAAAAGACAGACTGTAAAAAGGATTTGAGCAAAAGGCGGGTAAATGAGATTACAGCCACTCGCACTGCCCCTGCTTGTTTGGTGATCCCATCGTTTCTTTACCAAATCGGACGACTCATTTTTACAAAAAGCGGCTTCTTTCCGTTTCTGAGATAACAAGGTGTAGAGCTGGATGAACACAGCAGGCCAAGCAGCATCAGAAGAGCAGGAAAGCTGACGTTTCGGGTCTGGACCCTTCTTCAG